GAAATGATTTCGAGGAAACATCTAACAATATAACCTTATGTATAAAATTTAAATCAACAGGAAAAGTAATTTCGCCTAGGAATATTCATCTTGGATTGGATTGGATTACTTAATTATGGCAAAGCACACGAGGGCTATCTGCCTAAAGGGAAAGATGCCTTCGTGGAGGACTTTCTAAGGGAAAACTGGGAATATTCATCTTGAAGCATTAAAGATATTATAGACTTTTCCTTCATTATCTATACATTAAATATTAATTTTTTGAATCTGAATTTTTTGCGGCATAAATTTTGATCTATTTTTTTAAATTTTAAAACTGTACGTAAAAGATTTCTTTATACTTTTTATTTTGAAATCTTCATAGCATGAAACTCATTTATCAAAATGCATTTAAAAATAAGGCGTATTTTATAGTTCAAATGCAGCTTTTATTAAGATGATTATATATAAATGAATGTAGCTTGGTGATAAGGGAATTATTTCCGGAGTAGCCTTCAATGCTTCTATATTTCCTTTCAATTTTCCACACTTTGCGTTTCACTGACTGCAACGCATTTCTGTGCAGAGGAAAGTATTGCATTTATTTGCTAAAAACGCAGCATATCATGCTTCCTTTCGCTTGCTGTCACAAATCATTTATAAATTTGTACTTTTTCTTCACATGAACGAAGGTTGATATTTATTGATTCCGTGAAAATGTCAGAGGAATTTTCGTGCTTATCTTGAAGAAGTAAAAGCAAGCATTTTCATAAAATTTGCATATATATATAGCGTTTGCTTAAAGAAATGCTTATATTGTTATCGGTAATTTTACATAGCTTTGAAGTTCAAATGTCACCACTTCGGAGGCCTTCTAAGCGAAATCTGAACTTGAGCCAAGCATAAACAAAATTCTTAAAATATAATTGAAAAAAAGATAGTAAAATTAAATCCTAACTTGCGTCCAGCGTCAGTGCTACACTAAAGAATATTTGCTTGAAATCTAGTAAGTATTTATTTCGGTTTCATTCCGAATAGGCGCCATTCTCATTGCTATATTATGCCGTCTATATATGCTATCTATTGTTTGTAGTGCATAAATGCTGTCTATTGTTTGTTTATGTTTTGAGCGGTTTAAAACTTAACTCTTATATTTTGTTTACGAAGTCGTAACTTCAGATGGAGGAAACTATTTTTAGTTAAAATAATGGCAGGTTTATCTTTTCAGAATTCGGCACCGTTATGTCTTTTTATATAAATTCTTTTAGAAAATACTGTTTGGCAAATATATGAAGCCATACACAAACGAAACATATACATTATTATCTTTGTTATTTCATTTTATGAATTTGTAGAGTTAAATAAATATGAGATAACTAAATTTTATTTTTAAGCCTGTTATTTATTATTTTAAAGTTAAAACTGCAAATCTGTACACTGAAAACTGACTTTTATTAAAAAATATTAAAAAACACTTAATTTTAAAACTTTTATAATATATCCCATTATAAAATATTTTTAACATGTGCGTGCAGAAAACTTCAAGCTTTAATAAATTTAAAATTTAGAATTTTGGGAAACTATAATTCGAATTGCAGTACAGTAAGAAAATTTAAGAATTATTTTAGCAAAACTTTAGACACTCTAACATTGCAAAAAGATTTGTATTTTCTTTTTTATAAAATTTTGTAAAAAGAGAATTAATAAAAAACTCAATTTTAATAAAGAATATAGCAATGGAAGAAAAGGTCGATAAATTTGGAAGGAGTTACTTCCTGTCGAGGTAAATATATTTAGGTCATTTATAACTGAATAATGAGAAAGGAATTTAAGATTGTCATAGATATATAGGACAACTAGTAATATTAGTATTAGATTAAAGATGCAATGTTAGTTCTAGCTCAAGGAAGCGAATTTGGTTTGACATTAAACAAGCTATGTTATTTTTAATGAAGTATTTTTAGAAACCCAAGTTATAAATAGTTTAAAAAGGAGGTTCATAATAATTGACAAAGATGAAAATTATTAATAAATAAAAGTGCATGGTTGTATATTTCATTTCGAGTTAACCAAGTTGCACGTTAAATGAGTATAATTTTACACTCAGTGTGATAAACACTCTGAAGTATTTCTTACGGATACATAACTGCTTTAAACTGTTTTTTACTACGTAACAATGTGCCCGCCCACCTGCCTACGTTTATTTGAAGAATTTTTATTCAGGCCAATTCTTTTTGTCACTGTACTGTTCTTTGGCAATTTAAAGATTAAGAGAGTTGTGTTACTCTTTCAAATTTTCTCTCATTTCAACATTTCAACTTATGCACCTTATTTCACTCCTGCCCTGACATACTTCTTTGACAAGGAATGATTAAGGATGTATATGTAAATAAAATGTCGGGGGTCATTTCATGTCGAAATACATTTCCCTCTGCGAGAGACAAAGATATTGGTCCCTGAAAAAAATCCGAATGACGTTATTACTCGTAAAAATGATACGGTGGGAAATGAAGAAAATCTTGATTTCCATGTCTCGAAGTAGTTCTTGATATGACATATTCTGCAACCATGCCGGCAGAGTCTTGACATTTTTTTCACCGTTCACAAACTAGGATCAGAGTTCAATGCACAGACACATAAAAATTTGTTTCATGTTGAGAAACTTTAAGAAACATTCACACACACGGATCAACACTTTGACTGAGAGTTATTTGAAAGGAGATAAATAAAATTCCGGTTATAGTATATTGAATCCCTCCGAAAGGCGGACTAGAAGACACGAAATGCTATTTATAATAAGGCATCCTTAGAGAATTCTAATCACTATATAAAAAAACTAGCTCAGGTAGCTGCAAAAAATGTCTTGACTGACTAGGAAGGCTATTTTGAGAAAATAATCACAGGTCTATGTACAATGAGTGCAGTGACACGTATCTGCACCGGTTTCAACTTTTTGTTCTGACTAGTTATTGTCTTCCAACCAATGAGCAATCCTTTGAGAAGGTCCTTGTGGTATATCTCATTGGAGGTAAATCCCTGCTTTGAAGGAATGAGATCGTCTTTCATCAGTTTCACAAGTGTAATACTGGTTCTACGTAGAACTAAATTCAAACACTTCTTTGGCGCCACACTCCTTAATAAGGGGTAAACTTATTCCTTTCAGTTTTCTTATTGCCGTTGTGTGTTGCAGTAGCCCTCAGTTTTGTGGTGAGAGATTTGCGGTTTGTAATGGCTGTTTGTAGATCAAAGAGGGTTGTTTGGTTGGCGGCGGCGGCGGCAGCAGCGGCGGCAGCAGCTGAGCTGAGGCCGAGGGTGAGAGGACTGGCCTTCACCAGTTGGTTGAGTGGGATGGCCAAGGGGGTGTTGGTGATCGACATGGTGTTGGCAGAGGTCGAGGAAGGGTTGGAGGTCAGGTCAAGGTTCTTATGCAAATCCATGCTGCATCAGTGGTTGGTGGAAACATGGGGAGAGAAGAAAAAACAAGACAAATGACATAGATTAGAATGAGTTGGGTAAGGAAAGGGAGTAAGAAACAAAACAAAAACATTGAAAATTTTATCAAGAAAGCCAACAGCTTTCGAACTTTGTGAAAATGCGTTACTTTTAATATGAGCAGTAATTTAGGATTTTACGTAAATGAAATGAGTGGCAATCCACAAAAACACAAGGTCAACAAAAGCTGTTAGCTTTCAAACAATTTCCGACAAAACGAATGCCTTAAATTAAATGAAATGAATTGACAAATCAAAGTAGACATTTGAAGATGTGTGCGCCACAAACAGAAGGATTAAAATAAGGGGGTTTTTATCTATAGTGCCGTAAAAGAAGAACAAAAAGGAAACCCTATTAACTACCAGGATTGTAGATGCATGCAAACAAAAGTTTATCTGCAAATTACTTGCTAATGAAAATAATAACTACTAATAGCAATGAATGAAAAAACAGCTTTGATAAAATCAGAACCAAACGTATGGTAATGAGTCACTAGAAACTGCTTTTCCTTCACAAAGCTGGTAAAGATGTTAACACATTAAAGTAAACAATCTGTATAGTATATTAGTTTAAGCTAAAATTAATGCAAAAATAGTAGGTATCAGGTTAGCCTACATAAGTAATGCATAAACAGGTAAAATAATTTCGCAAACACACGATAGGATCTCTGGTACAAACTGTGCTTGTATGAGGCACATTCGTGCTTGCTTAATAAATATATTTACAACGTGCAAAGGTATTGTGTCATTAGGAAGAAATAAATGGAGGATGGAGATTTGGGTACAAAAGGTAAACAGGGAATAAAAGGGAACGGGCCATTCTGGCGACACGCTTTTCGGCCTGAAGTTGAAGCTGAGTACCAAGTTAAACATAACACCACAAAACTGTTTCTTCTCAAAGTAGAATAACTTATAAATTAAACAAAAGCGTGTTTTTTGTTTTGTTTGTAATTATAAATGCTTCTTTTTGAAAGCTATTTGATGCAGTTTCAAATGTAATAGGTTCATTTTTTTCTGAAACACGAAATTGAACTTTGCATTGTGAAAAACTGAAACAGCTAAAATATCTAAAATATTCGAAAACATTTACATATAGATTACCTTTTTAATCTAAATGGTTTATAGTTTCTACATTTTGGGCAAAGTGATGAAGCGAATATAAACATATTTATTGGAATATTATCTTAATATTAAAGCACATTCAGTCTTAAAATTGATGGAAATAACCTTAATATTTCATTTAAAATATACAATAATTAAATTTTAAAAAATTGTAGATTATACATTATTTTATAAAAGATACTCTTATCTAAGGAAAGAGGGTATTCTATTTATATTTATCAAATGCCTGAGGAACATAGAACTATGTTTCATTCGAACAGAATGCAACACCTAACCACGACCAGTTAAACTAATTTAGAAACACTAAATAACTTTAATATTGATAATTTTACTTTTTAATTAGAAAAGAAAGGAATATCCGCTTATATTTAATAGCAAGAGATAATAGTGTTATATGAAATAAGGTACCTGGTATTGATGAGGTACTGGGCAAGATTGATAGCCTCTGGAGTTCCCGAAATAGCAACTGTTCTGTCTTTAGATCCTTCTTCTGAATTTGAAATTTTGATGGTTGCCCCTGAGAGTTGCCTGTAAGAGAGAGAGAAGGGTACTATGTTCAGAAGCCTGTAAAGTATGGTTCAAACAGAAATTTATTAATGACGAAGTTCTGTACCTAATTTCATTGATCTTGGCCCCTCCTTTTCCAATGACACATCCTATCAGGTCATTGGGGATGTTCATTTCAGTTGTGGTGGTGGTGACGCTGGCCAGAGCTGTGGCCGCTGTGCCCGGTCGCAGACTGTTAGTGGCTGCCAAAGTCGCCAGAGCAGGGATGCATAAAGATCCTGTGAAATATTTCATTAAATTAAATCTACAAAAGAGGACAAGAAATGTTTGGTACTATAAAATACTGAACTTTACTAGGAGTTTGATCACCTGAGTACATAAATAGCACAGCACTTTTAGAATTTTTAATTATTAGAGCAAAATAAAAATCAGAATAAGCAAATACATATGAAGTTTAAGAACCATACAGTTCATCTGAGTTCAGATTGTAAGTTTATATGCTCACAATCCTATTCAATTACTTCAAAGGATTGTTGTTAAAAAAGTGAAAAGATATCAAGACAAAAGAAATATTGCTTCTGTGTAAACTAGTGCGCTGTGTTTACTTTCCCTTTTTCAGTAGGCCTTTGAGTTTAAAACAAACTCAGATAGAAGGATGTTTTCAGATTTTTCATAGATTTCCAGATTACTTTTTTTTGTTGCAGTTGTTTGTAAGTGATGTATATATATATATGAATAATTTTTTATCTGTAACAATTCATGTTTAGAATTCGGAAAAAAGCCAGATATGAAAACTGGAAATTATGAAATAATTGGATAACTACAAATATTACTGAAATGTTAATTATTGAGTATGTACATTTGTAACTACTAGTTTTCTTTTTGTTTCTTTATAAGACGTATCTGAAATTATTCAACACAGAATTAATTTCATTATGATCTTATGAATAATATTTACTGGTTAAAAATTATAGGCTGTAATAAATTTTTAATAATGTAAAAAATAACTAATTTAAAAATATCTCAAATTCTTCCGAAAAATGTTTAAAAATTTAGAACAAGCCGATTTTCAACAGGATATTTTACCACCATTTTTTCCTCACGGCAGTAAACAGACCAATGTACATTTGACGTTTGAAGTAAGCGGGTTTAAACTGCGCAGCTCTGTGTACCTGAATTTTTGTCTATGAATAAGAAAACAAAATGACAGGAATCTGTGAAATTACTAACGAAACCACATAGGTTAGACACAATAGAAAATTAGTATATCATACTATGTTGTTTTTAGTCTATTTTATCATTTTCTCCTATAGGCCCACCAGCGGCCGAGCGGTAAAGTCGTTGAACACTGGTAGTTCGGTCGGAGGTTCGAATCCCGCGAACGGGCTGGCTGCATGGGCTTTTCGTGGTTTTCCTCATGTGTAACGTGTATACGAGCCAGTTTCCCTTAGAAAGTCCTCCACAAAGGCATTCCTCCCCTTAGGCAGATAGCCCTAGTGTGTGCTTTGCCATAATTAAATACACCAACACCATTTACTACTATAAAATAACACAGATCTGTCAAGAAAAGCGAACATTTTTTAAGACGTAAGCACGCAAGCAAATACAGACTTCTAATAATTTTAATAGGAAAATAAAAAGAAATGTATGCAAAAGTGAAGGTAAATTATGTGTCGTAAAATATCACAGTAAGTATGTAACAATTTTGTAGGTGCTTTCTATTGCTCCTGTTCTACTGAGCTCGAGCTTTACCTGCTTAAAATTCGCACAACGCTGTTCATTTCCGCTTGTAGATTAGTCAATACAGTAAATAAAGCACTGCAGTAAAAAGCGAGTTGTTTCCTTACGTTTCATCATACTTATTATAATATTCTACGCCTCAAATAGCATAGTAAACCCCATATGAAATACCTTTAGGTAGAGCGAATTGCTTACAAGAAGGAAAAAAAAAAATCATAAAATTTAAAATCTTTGATATATGCAATAGAATCCAAGGATCAACTATACTTAAAATTAATTAAAATTTAATCTTAAGCAGACACTGGTTTCATAAAAAAATCTTTATACATTTTGAAGGAGATTGATATAGCTCCCTCTGCTTTTAATGGGAAAAACTAAATATAGTTCTCATTTTTCTCTGTTATTTGTTTAAATTTGCTAAGCACATGAAAGGGGTAAATTTATTATATTCTAATGTTACGGCTCGTTTTCGATTTGTTGGGTAAATTATGGTTTTTGTAGCAAAAGTTTGATACTCTATACTAAACTTCATAATTTGGGGCAAAACGACTATTGCTATGATACAGAGTCTCACACATACACACACTCATACACAGGTAAAACTAACATTCTAATGAGGTGCAAAGTAAAATAAAGACATTTTGTAATAGTAACATGCGTGGTCGATATCTAAATTTTGTATATAATTACTTGTTAACAACTAAGCCCTACATATGTTTATTCAAGAAAAACATTTCCTACTGCAGACTTATTATGCTCTAAAATTTAATTATGATTAGGTAATATAACTTTAGATAACTCTCGTATACTTCGAGCATACATTTCGATGCATAAGATGAGTTGCAAAATAATATACCGTGATACATGCTTTAACTATTTTTTCTAATACCATTTTTATAAATGTTAAGTAATAATAATGGGATGAAGATTTTATAAAACACTCAAAACTGGTTTTCCTGCCACATTTCATATATTTAATTGTTTTAAATCATTATAAACAAACTTTTGTTGCAATTATTTAAGTGTGTGTGTGTGATTATGGTAAAGCCTCGAGGGCTATCTGCCTAAAGGGAGGGATGCCTTCGTGGAGGACTTTCTAAGGGAAACTGGCTCGTATGCACGTTACACATGGGGAAAACCACTAAAACGCCCATGCAGCCAGCCCGTTCGCGGGATTCGAACCTCGAACCGAACTACCAGTGTTCAGCTACTTTACCGACCAGTGTTCAGCTACTTTACCGCTCGGCCGCTGGTGGGCCCTGCAATTATTTAAGAAGATTTTAAGTTATTATTGAGTAGTAGAGAAAATTTTTTAATCTCCGTTTACAATTTAGTGTCTATTACAACAAAAATTAAACAACAAAAGAAAACTTTCGTTTTATTGTTTCCTGCAGTACTTTCCCAAAACAATGCATTTTCTTCTGGTATTACTATTATTGAGGTATTTACCTGTATCACAGATATTTTCTTTATTCTTGATATTAGCGAAAACTGGTACTTCTACAAGGACTTATTCTTATTTATACCTATATTTTCTTACGAACTATTTTTATTCAAGATTTGAATAATACCAGCGCAATTGCTAACGGCAGAGGTGTTTAACTTTCTCATCTCAGAGGAAATGCTTAAAATATTTCGTTTTTCATCAGAATAAACTGTATACTTTTCCGTTAAAAAAGTCATAGTAGTTCTGTTGCGATTCAGTTTTCTTTTTCTGAACTGTCCAAGATTTTCCACAAATCTAATTTATACTTTCTCTCTTTTAAAATAAACAATTGTTCAAAAATTGTAAACGGCTTTGCATTCTATAGTTAATTTAGAGTACTCATTAGTGCAATTTAGCATTCGTATATATAGTAAATATCTACAAAACAAAGACAAACATTACTTTCCCAAAACTTTCTTAAAATTTTGCATTAAAGAGCTTGTAGAGACATTAGGATTTTTGGAATTAGAAAAGACGCCTTCGCCGGGAATCGAACCACGGATCTCTGGATACCGGCTCAGTATGCTGACCACTACACCACGAAGGCACGTTAGGAAGGCGGGAGCCTTATATACTTCCCCTTTTAAAGGGCGACTGGGGTTTTTAGGGGACCCAATCGCCAAATCCTGGGTGAGGAGAATATCCAACACCCTTTTTAGCTCGGGCGCCCCCGTAGAGACATTAGGTACTCTGGAAGCAGGAAAGATGAAAAATTAACAACGCCTTCGCCGGGAATCGAACCGCGGACCTCTGGAATACCGGCCCAGCGTGCAGAACCACTACACCACGAAGGCACGCTAGGAACGCGAGAGAAATACCTTATAAGCTTAAATACGAGTATGATGCCTGAAAAAGAAAACTCGAACAATCGTCCGTCGGTTACCAGGATGCCTTCTGTAGTTGCCGAAACAATTTCCTTAAAGCCTGTCGCATTTATCAAAACACCTTTCATTATTTAATGAAATTTGCCTAATTTTAAGTCTGCAAAGTTTTCTCACATTTAACATTTTATGCGGCTTCCCAAATGAAAAACTAGTAATTTTCATTCAGCTTTGAATTATATTTTAAAAGCTGATAGCAGTCTTCACGCGAAGAAAAGTTCCCAGGTTCAAGAAAAAACATATTTTGAGATCTGTTATTAAAATATATACGTAATTCGATAACGTGTATATTCAAACTGGTACTCAGCGTTATATGCGATAGAATTTTCTCTCTCTCTGTCAATCACACGAAAAAAAAAAAAAAGCGACTTTGAAAAACTGTGGCCTGAAGTTAAATGAAATTTAGCTAGATGATAAAGAACTGATATCTGCAATTTCTTCAATGCATGTGCAGGTTTGGGTTACGTTAGGCGTATATGATTTTCAGGTGATCATATTCTGAGGTATTCTTAAATAGAGTTTAAATAGCAATGTACATGTGAATGCTTGCAAAAACTGAAAGGATAAGTATTGCCATATTTAATCCGTTACATGCTTTTATCTGATGGCAACGCAATACACAATACGCATATTTACTTTAAGCATTTTCAGGTTTAATTTTTGTAAGATATCGAATTCCTATGAGCTGGGAAACTATTGAAGCATTTACGAATCATTTTGAATCGCAAAACATCATCTAAAAATGCTTTGTTCAGTATAATATCAAATATTTTTAAATATTAGTAGTGTTAGTTAAATTTATACGTTATCTAAGATTTGTTTAAGTAGCAGAGTTTCTATGTTTTAGAAGATTATTATATATTTAGATTATAAATTAGATATTTAGTTTTATTAAATTAGCGGGAATAAAATTCAGTTAGACTATAATTCAGTTCAAGATAGCATTTCTTACTGCTCTTACTTGAGTGTTGTTTTTTTTCGGAACATGACCATCTGTTCAAAATTTATGTTAACCTAAGCTTGAACATTGTCTAATTTTAAAGTGTTCGGTGTTTCCTTGTGTCTAGCATTTTATGGCGTTTTCCAAATGAAAATCTAGTAATTTTCTTCTGATTCGATATGTTTTAAAAACTGACAGTAGTCTTACTTTAACATAGTACAACTTTACATAGTAGTCTTATTTCAAGATAATTTATAATCTAGTTAAAACTGTTACATGTTATGCAGTAATTGCATATCGTAAAAATAAATTAAATGTGTTTACCTTGAGGGCTCAGTGTTCCAACACTGTGTCCTGGCAGCAGTGGAGCGTGCTGTAAAGCCAACTGGTGCAGCTTGGTAAGCTGCAAAACAAATCGTACAGCATTTATTTAAAACAGAAGCAAAATGAGAGCTAATGAAAAGCTTAAAGTCTTTTAAAAAAAGAATTTCTTACTACGAATTCTTATTCTTATTTTTTTTTAAATTTCTTAATCTATTTCATTTGTTTTCTGAGTGCTAAGAATATAACGTAAGGTTTATTTCAGTTTTTCTTTTCAGTTATTATAACGTTTGGTAATGTAATAAATTAATTTAACTGGTTATTATGATTTAGATCTTTACTCTCATTTCTCTCTTGAGAAGGAGACTTTAGTTTTAAAGTATTTAAGCCAAGTTTGTTGGATTGTAAGTCAAAGCGTGTTTCTGCCTGCGTGTGTGCACGTTATGTTTCTCACAGTTCTGGTTGTCTGAATTACTCGGCTTTGCATTATTGCTGCCGAATATTTGAAAACTTACGCTGGTTAGATTTATAAGCCAGCTTCGCCAAAATGAATTGTGTAGCCCTTGGTTACTAGATTATTTAACATTTAAATTGATTGTTACTTTAAGTTGGCTCTCCACATGTGCTGGCTAGTTTGTCAAGCACGAGACTTGTTTATCCGTTAAAGTTCTGATTTAATAAAAAGGCTATTAACAAATTTTCAAGGTTCTGTGGGTTGATTTCCAGACATAGAGATAATTTCCTTAACGTCTGTTAGGAATTTGTTACTAATAGTTTATGCTACCAAAAAACTCTATAGTTTCTTTTTTTTATTTTTTATTTTCTTTCTTGTATCGTACATGCTTTGGCTCCCGCAAAACATGAGATTATATGAATGAGAAATTAAATAAAATAACGTGATTGAATGTGAGTGAATGATCGATTTACCGTGAATCGACTTTCTCCTTCTTGCTGGCTGTCGCATGCTTTATTGACTATAAGCAATGTATTCCTCCCTTTCAAGGGAAAAGTAGGAAAACTCTAAGAAGATACGAATACTAAAAAGGTCCGTAATTAGTAGGGAACAAAGAAATAATTACATCTGAGCTTGGAATTCACTGGGCTGACAACTCATCTAATATAGTGGTTAGTTGTCAGCGTTGTTGGCTCGGGTTGTTGGTATCGTTGGACTCGGGTTCAAATCCCGAAGAAGAATGTGTATAGTGTTTATGCGGCATGGGGTGACTTAAAACAATGGCGAGCCGAAAGTCCTTTCGAAAAGTTTGGTGGTAGGGAAAGAGGGGTGAGACACCCTGTCCCCGCTTATTCAAAATTGGAGCGGAGACGCGTAGGTAGTGCTGTGTGACTAAATCTGTAAGATTACTGGTGAAATTCTGCTGTCCCACTCACTTCTAGCTGGACCTGTACGGTGCATCCGTAGACAGTAAGGATAATCTTGTCTCTCACGTCTGCATTTTCTGTTGTGGCAGTCCATGGATGACCCGGAAATTTTGAAACGTCTGCGATTCTATGCGACTCTGACATCAGGCTTGTACTGTAGCTGATGGCTGAGACTTCGAAAATCCTCTGTGATCTCTTTTAATATCGCAATAATTATATTTTATAGGATTTAATTTATTTTTGCTAATAGTTATTTTAATTTGTTAGCCTTTTCTGTCTTCTCTTATTCCGCTCGCGTTTCCTCGCCAGTATGTAAATTAGTTAGGGTGAACTAGAGTATTTATAACTGTTGGAGCGAAAAGTTTAGTCAGAGCGTGCTATCGCTACTGAGAGCGCACATTGTTATTTCTACCAGCTATTAGCCTTGATTATCAGGTTCGCATCTTTGCTGCCGAATTGTTATTCTGCTGGTGTAGGTTCTGCGTTAACCTGTTAGATTAAACTGAATTGAGTAGTACTGCACTACTTTTCCTTTAAATTTAGTGCTACGTTATCTTTTAAGTATTTCATCGCAAGTTGTCGATGGCTGCTATAAACACGTAAGTTCGTGCCGTCTGTAAAATATTGTGTTCAATAAAAACGTCTTTTACACCCTTCCCTGTTGTGTTTATCTTCAAGCATTTAAGAAAAGGCACAATGATTAACACTTCAGTTGATGTAGTTATTACATTGCGTGATAGCTAAAAGACTAGATCCCACAATTTTAATGAACAAAATGTTCTTCACTTATGTGTTGTTTCTAATGTTCTCTACACACCTGCACAAGCCGATGGCGTTTCCGAGCTGCATTGCTGTCTAATCCCAATTACGTTTTCACTAGCTTATTTCTCTCAGAAATTTTAACATGCGATAGCGAATCACCCTGTACGTGAGTTAGAATGATTATCATTTCCTCTTTGTAGAAAAATATGTGTATTATACGTATTTGTCATTAATTCCAGTGTTAGTCCTTCTTGGCAGCATATTTGTAGATTTCTTTATGCAATCAGCAAGACTGAATTGTCCGCTGAAGGCAAAAATGCAAAATAGCGAGCATTTTTTAGAATGTTTTATAACCTTATCTTCATTAGGATTTGATTCTACTTTTCTAATTTCAAACTGATCTTTTTACATTTCTGAACAATTTATGGAGAAAGTATTATGGCTTTTAATGAGAATGAATGTATAGCGTGATATCTTAATTTTTAATCTATGATTTCAGTTGTACGAATTGAGAAGTATACTTATATGCACTTATAATTAATGTATGTATTACTTCAACCAACTTTAAATTTAGTAGTGCTTTTCTACAACTGTAATAATGTATTTATTATAGCAACCACCTTTAAATTCTTTAGTACTTTTCTTTCGTAATTTACTACTCTAACCAAAGGACGAAGCTTTGCTTTTTAAACATGATATGCACTAGGTGAGTGTTTACAAGTGTGATAAATATTTGAATTTTATTTTAAGAAAGGCAGTGGAGGCTTTCCTTCAGCTTTTGCAGAAAGAGGGGTATTAAGGAATAGGATTAACTTGGAACAGAAATGTTGATAGAAATAATTTTATAAAAGGTAATAACTTCATTTAAAAAAATTAAAAAAAAAAATTTTTAAAGTAAAATGACTTCACTTTAAAAATTACATGTATTTTAGAAGATAAGGAATTTTAGAAGATAATGATGTATACATTCTATCTGTATGTATACATATTTCATCACCCTAGATATCTTCTAGAAAATCTGATTTCTATTTAAAAAAATGAAGGACATTGAACAGATAGCAGACAGCAGTATCTATCAGTCTTTAAGAAGTTTTATGATTTGGATCAGCAGCGTTGAGTGCTATATTCGATGTATGCATACCGACATCTGAAAGCATTTGTTTACGAGAATCCAGTTGACTCTGCTGTGGACCACCTCGCCCTAATCGATATAGTAGTTCGCGACACTGGCTGCCATGCAGATGGGTCCGGGTTCCAATCTCGGGAAAATCAGGGATGTTTGTAAGTGTATAGTGTCTGTGTGGCATGAGGGCGCTCTAAATACTGGCAAGCTGAAAGTTCTGCCTAGATATTTGATGGTAGAGGAAGAGCGATGGGAGATCTGTGGATCCGTCATCCGATTTGTTGTCCATCGAAACTGAGACGGAATTTATTCGTCCTCACGAATGTAAAATCGGTTGCTTTCTGTGCTCTGTAGTGCACATTCAGTTCCGAAGTTAGAATTTAAAAATATTGGACATATAATGATAGAGAAAATTCGCCATAAATCGATAAACTAAGTTAAACATTCGGAATAAATTTACTTGGAAGATTATTTTTCAAGCTAAATGGAGCAAACACTGAATGATTATTACGATGAATAGTTCGATCCTAGAGCAAGGATATGGGCGAAAAATTGATAAAAAGTCATTTCTTCATTAAAAATGGAAAAGGTGCTTAAAAGAGCAAGCTCACACCTATTGGATAAGTTGTCTGCAAAATTTCCGCCTCGATCGCTAAGGTAATTAGCGATACTAGTTGCCGTATCGCAGGATACTGATTCAAATCCCGGAGTAGGCATGGCTAATTGTTATTGTACAGTGTCTGTGCGGCATAGGGGCATTTAACATAGCCTGAAATCCTTCTGATTGGTTTTATGGTAAGGGAAGAGGTGTTGATGACCATCGGATCCGTTCCTTAAGGAGTTTTATATCAAAAGGCGGTATTGTACAATTAGTGCGGTGGAATTCTACCTACGCAACCAGTGGTGAAATTCTGATGTCAAACCCGCTTCTTCCTCTTCTGTCCTATGTGCTAAAATGAAGTTTTGCAGCTCTAGACCTTTCCAATTCATACTTAAGTAATGCACTCATGGACAAACTTCTCCTTTTATTACTGAGAGATGTGAAGAGCAGCGTCACCTGCTATTAGAACAAAATATCATGAGGATTTGAAATATATTCCGGAGCAAATTCTGTTTAATAGAAATCTAATTAGCGAAAGTTTAATTTATGGAGAATTCAAGAGAGCTTTAATCTTTCTATGCTTTGATATTAAGGTTGTCATTGTGAAGATATCTGAAATAGAATGCCTGAATACTTTGAAACTGCAGTGAGTCATTTTTAGTTTTTGTAACTCAAGACCGATCTAATTAAATTTGGCTTATTTAGCTTAAAACCTGAGCGTTTATTTGCATTTGAATCTGACGCGAAATCTCGCTGAAGACAGTCAAAAATCTATCCGTAGTTAACTCTTAACAACGTTACTAGGTTTTATTTCAAAATTTTTAATTTCATTTACCTGTGGATTCATTAGTTCCACCCCTTGACACTGCAAAAGAGAATTTTTTTTTAAATTTGTAACATTTATAGGCATAACTGTTACTTTTTAATTAAAAAAATTACTTCTATTCTTACGTCTGGATGTGGAATTGCATACTGTCCTTGCACTGTGTATGCTTGACCGCCGGCAAAGATGATAGGGGGCATGGCTGGCTTTGGACGGTAAGGTATTGTCGCTCCTTTCGGTGGGGACTATGAAGGTATAAAAGGTAATCATTATGATAGTATTCACAACCAAGAATAGTAATACAAAAATAAATATTGTTTACTAAATTTAAACAATTTTGCTTTAGTTTAAAATGTATAATTACTGATTTTATTTGATAAAGCAGTATAAAAACAACAAAAAATAATGTGCATGTAAACATAGTATATTTCTGTATGATAGCTGAAGCATTTTGCTTAATTACTTTATGTTAGAAAAACAGTCAGCACTTAATTAATTTTTTCATGATATTAGATATCAGAAGATAATTAAAAAATTTTTAAAGTAGTGTGGAGTGTCATCGAAAGTTATCATTTGTGGTAAATGTATACCTCGTTATTATTTCTTGTAAATATTGTGTAGTTTGACCTATCTTTAACATGTTTTCATATACATATACCAGATTTTAAAACATTCTCTTTGTAAACATTTGATAGTCTAATCGAATGTATTCTAATTGCAAGAATTCAAATGCAACCCGCATTGAATCTATTCGAATATACTACCTCTACCTCAGATGGTAGCAACATATGGGACAGACGCCTTTAATTCTTTTAACTTTATTTAATGTGCTTACATGCATTAAATCAGGAACATGCTGCGTCTTTGAAACCGGAATTTTATCCCAGATAAGCTATTATCTTTATGTTATGTGAGTACTTAAAATTTATAGATGTGAAAGTCCTTTCGAAAGGGTGGTGGTAGAGGAAAAAAAAAGGACGATCCCCTGAGGTGCTCTTAGTCAAAATTAGGTGAGATTGAGGCAGTTCTCGTCTTTTTTACCTAACGTTAAAGTTAAATAATCCAATGCATCCTCTTCCGTAACAATAGCAACATACAAAACTGATTTTTAGAGATTCCGTGTTCGACTCCGGGGTACAATACAATTCAGGATTCTTGGTCGCTATATTTCTACACAATAAGCATCTAATACAGAAATTGTTTTGTAAAATTTCAGTATCAAACATTGTATTACAACCCACTGAAATCAATTTTAGTTGGAAACTTTCTTGGAAATGCTTAAGAAGTTAATTACTACTCTTAAGTTAAAATCAAGTATAACATTTCCATTCTTCTACAGTCATATCAGAAGAAACATCACGCTGAAAACAAACAGTAGCATATTGTTAACAGACAGACACTTAACTCGACACGTTTATTACATAAAACAACTGTAATCCTCTTATGTAATTGCGAAGAACATGAGTCATAAATTACATTTACTTAAAGTTCCCCCTCCCCCCCTGCAAGAGACGCTTTTCTAGCTTTCCCTCTGGAAGTTTATTAACGTTCACGCGTTTGTCTACCTTAAGTCTGCCAGCAACAAGCAGTCTTATCTGTCTTCTTTTTTTTTCAGTCATGAAAACTGGAAAATTTGAGTAAAGTGCCACTGTTTATCTTTTGAGTAGCCGCTAACTGCGAAATGCAAAGCGATTTCAAAACTTTGTTCTGTAATCATAACCTTCCTCGTTTTTTTGGGTGAATCATTTTTGGGGAAGCAGGAAGTGAAACATAATGGAAAAGGAGAGAACTCGAATAATGGTCAAATGTATTTTGAATGCTTTTATCTGAAAGAAGTAAGCAAGAGGACTGTACAGAATATCTTTTACGCTTGTCTTTCTAAGCACAATGAAATAAAATGCCTGCAATATATTTTATACGGGAATTTTTACATTTTCATTTTGGATTTAAACATGTTTGGCTGGAAAAGTATAAACTGCTCAGCTCAAAATAATGTTGTTTCCTTAGCATACGCTAAACCTAAAATTCAGAATTTGTTAATAAAAATATTTTTTCTTGTTACAGCTAAATTACTTTACCATCATTACCCATCTTTAACAATTTACTTGTTTTGCTGCAACAAATTAATATGATATGGGAATTTTTAGATAACTTTACATTGAATACCCTGCGGAAAAAATTTTATGAAAGCATTTTTTGAAAACATTTTGCCTCCCTATTGGCAGGGTCTTAGGACATCTAGCTGCCTAGCTTTGGGCCCGAACTTGAAACTCAGAGAATGCATGGATGCCTGTAAGCGTGAAAAGCTTTTGCGAGATAGTGGAACATAAAATACTGTCCAGCCTATGTCCTGTTAAGAGGTTGATGGCAGGAAAATAGGAGGAGACCTTCAGATCCGTTTTTGAGGTGATTTTCCTTTAAAATTGGAGTTGAGCGGAGGGAATTCTTTCTGCGCCTATATAATTCCCAAGGTCTAAACGAATGACAGGCACAGCCCTTGCCATTTGGCCACAATAAAATTCGTAAACTTGGCATGGTACGAGAACCAGACAAGTAAGATAATTCAAAATGAAAAAAAAATTTTCCTTCCGAACTTTATGATCTAACAAAATATTAGCCAAAATACCTATATAAATATATATGTATACCTTCTTTTCCCTTTTTTATTTCACAGTTGTTCAATTATGAAGTTGTTGACTTTAATATTTTATTCTATTGTGTGTTAAATTAACGTTTCTTTCAATGAAGTGCTAGAAGAATAAGCCTGGTCATAAATGTTTGCAAATTAAATGCTTCTTTTTTTTTCTTTTGTCTGTAGTTAAAAATGTTATGTTTTCGTATCGGATCCTTTAAAATTGTCTCTGCGCATTTTATAAGTATACATTTCATTGTATGGAAAAATCATTCTAATTTATTAAAATTTACAATGTCTTGTACTTTTAAAACTTTTTTAGCGAATAAATTACGGAGCTCCTATTTTTACTCTAGAAAATAATTATGAGACTACTCTGAAAACAGTATCGGCCATATTGTATCAACAACATGCTTGCTTTTCTTTTCTTCGCATAAATATATGATCGTTTAGTTTGCTTTGCTTCTTGCGTAGTCAACAACAGACAAATTGAGGACCATATGAAGTATGTTGATATCTTTGGGTTGATCTTAACTCGAGAAAATGCCAGGACCGTGGTTAGCTCAACGAAATTCCTTAGAAATGGCATATAATGCTTAAAAGATTTTGATGTTATCATGTTCCTCACACAGGACTATTATTTCTTCCATCGTTCCTGAAAGGAGCAATAATGAACCATTAACGATTGTTGCCGGAGAATATTTAATTTTGAACCGCATCTGCATCAAACGCTGATCTGATATCACGTGAAAAATTGTACATCTGCGGCGGGACACCTGTACCTAGCTATCTTGAGTGATGCATGTACCTAGCTGATCCGACCAAATACCTAGCTGATCCGTGGGGCTGACTCCATTCAGTCCTCGTGACGGGGACTGACAGAGTGAACAGAGCACCAAATAGACAAACAATGGAATGGTTCCCGATGGCAAAGGTGTCTTGTGTACCTATTTTTGTATCGTACGTTTTTGCTAGCGTTTTTCATGCTTTGTATAAAACCGGACGGGGACTGCGGCGGTTGCGCCCGCTTGGACGAGGGTCTCTGGACCATAGATATCACAATCCTGCAAGGCTGGTATCAGATCGGAGATCTATGTCTAATCCCCCCAGGGGGTTGACTCAGGAGACGTCCTGGGAAGTACTGGTTAGGATCTGTACCTAGGCAGTCTCAACCACTGGGGTATACAAACACTCTTCACAGGACTAGAAACCGAGTATTGTACTCAGGTAGGTTCGGGCTTGGCAGGGACCGTACTGGTACTGTCGTGTCCGTTCCCCCGGCTGTCGTGGGGCTGATATGTAGATATAAGCGGGGCTTTTCGATGGGGGTTTGGCCCTCATAGTCCCAATGACGGGACTGACAGAGTAAGGCAAAGTACCGATCATGAATTAACTGATGCTGAGGGAGTGGTGCCCCGAGGCAAAGGTGACATAGTGTATCTTCTTCTTCGTATTTAGCATTTTTACCTTGTCGAGGCTATGTATAAAGCCGGGCAGGGACTGTGGGGTCTGCGCCGCCACTGATAAGTCCCATCTAGAGCCCGTTTCATCTAAACTTTGTAAGGATATCTCCAGGTCGAAGGTTCGGTCTCTGGCGTACTTGTCCTTGTGTACCTAGCTGATCTCCACCATATACTTCAAAGACACCCACGCCAACATTTGATTTCTGGAGATTTTAACGCTCACAATAATTTATGGGGTTATCCCCGAAGCAAAACCGGAGGCATGCTGATGGAAGATTTCCATCAACGCCCATAACCTCATACTACACAATACTCCAGAAGACCCGCCAACCTTTGTCACAATCAACGGGAAAAGGTGGCCAGACCTAACACTCTCTTCCCATCACTTAATCCACATGATTAACAATCCTCGCTTTGCGAAGATGAGTCCATCTCAGACCATCAAATAATTACTTTTGAAATTTTGAAATCGCATTCGAGGTTTCGCACACTCAAACGATACGTTATCGCATAAACCGAAATGCAGAAAAAAACTTACTAAAGCTCTGAACTCCAAAGCACATATCATTCTCCATGAAATTCAAAGCATCAACTCCAAAGATGAAGCTAATGCATTTGCCACAACTCTTATCAAGCATAGCCAAGAAATCAGCCATACGTCCCTGGAAATCAAAACAGTCAACCACAACACGAAGTCCAACTGGTGAATCAAGGAACTACGAGCAGAGCGCCAAAAAACCAAAGCTCTAAGACGAAAAATGAAAAGGAGAACGACCGATGAACGCAAAGCAGCATGGATCAACTATAACAAGCAACGTGCGATCTAAAAAAGAAACTAAATGAAGCAAAACTAAAATCCTGGACTACCTACTGTACTAAAAATCAAACTACCTATGGAGCCCTTTAGAAAATAACCACTTCCAAGATTTATAAACCAACACAAATCCACGCAAAAACCAATACATCACAAAGTAATGGGTTTTTTTTTTTTTTTTTTTTTTCTTTTTTTTTTTTTTTTTTTTTTTTTTTTTTTGCACGGACCTCACGAGCACCACCATCAACGGTATCCTGGACCAAGTCTTCTTGCAAGACGACAGTGCAGAAGATACACCGGAGCAAAAAGAACTAAGAGCATCCACACAAACACCAA